CAGAACCCGAGTGCAAATGAGCATTTTAAATATTTCAGTTTGTATCTCAGTCGTCACTGCAGGAGTTTGATTTTGCACTTTGACGACCGTCAGGCTGCAGAATAATTGTTTTTTTTTTTAATGTATTTATTTATGCAAGTTTCAAAATTTTCACAAACAGCGGGACAGAGGAACACAGACAATAAAGACAATAACAACAACAAAAAAAATCAAAAACAAAACACAGGAACAAACAAACAAACAAACAAAAAACCAGAGCAACAAACCCCACAACAGGCCAGCACTTATTAAGAACAGGCTGCAGAATAATTGTAAACACAAACAACAAGCTTCTGACTTTTATTTAGCGTGTTTATGAGTATTCACACGTTCTCATCTGACCCGTCATATAATGTGTATTATGAGAACAAAAAAGCTGTAAAATGTCAATAAAACAGAATTCACTGATTGCAGATCTCATATTTTAGAGAAAACATATTACGTGTTTAAACTGAACAAATGCACAATTTTAGGTGAAATATTGGCTCATTTTGATTTTGACGGCAGCAACACATCTGAAAAACAGTCCGAGCAACAAAAGGCCGGAAGCTTTCCTCCAGCTGCTGCTCTCCTCAGCTCCAGATGTTTGATGATGTGGGCTGATGTTAAAACAAGAGAGGATGCTGCACAGTGGCAAACTGCTGCTGCCATCAAATACAAAATGAACAATTATTTCACTCGGTTTAAACATTTGATGTGTTTTCTGTGTTTTGTTGTGAATAAAATATATGACTGTGTTCTAGTTTTCACACAGCGTCCCAACATGTTTGGAATCAGGTCTGTTCATCACAAGTAATCAAACTTGGTGTTATTGCAAAGCTTTTATGTTAATAAAATACAATTACTGCACATATTGAACCTTTAAAAAGCCTCGAGTGAGAAAAACAAAAATCAGAATTTTAGCTGAAGATGAAAAGTTTGTTCATTAAAAACAACAAAATGTACAAAGTGCAAAAGCGAGCGTCAGTGAATAATGCATGGCGCATGATTTATTCAACTGACGAGATGAAAAGCAAAGCGAGGAAACTTCTCTCAAATTACTGCATGAAACAAACAACAATCACAGTTCTGTCGCTTCTCCAGATGTTTTGGTGATTTGAGCTTCGGCAGCGGCGGACATAATTTCCTTTTGCTCATTTTGTGGATATTTGTGAAGACGGAGATGCTACAACAGGGTTCAAGTTAGGAAGCACATTATAGATAGAAGAAAGAGGTTTGATCCTTTTCACCTTAGCCAGTATATGCTTGTCTTTGATGATGTATTCATAGGTGGTCAGCAAGACGTTGAACTTCCCGCTGCGGAGCTGAGGCACCAGCCCACGACGCAAAGCAGGGGTGCCCTGTGTGGAGAGACAAAGAAGAGACAACGTTCTGTCGTAAAGAGCAGAAAATCTGAACGTCTGTGAAGTGAAAGAAGACACTAGACTAAAAAACAGAGATTTGTCTCACCTTGTAAGCAATTTTAACCACAGACGGAGCCCATTTGTCGAGCTCATAGACCCAGTTAGACAAGGTCCTGAAAACAGCATGTAAATGTGGTCAGAATCTTCAAAGACGACAGATTCATCAACACTTCATTTACAAAAACAGCCAAAGAAACCATGAAAATGCACAAAAGCAGAGACGAGATGAGCTCTGGTTCAGTGGCACACTGGGACAAACTGCTGTGTGCTAAAAAACAGACAGTTTTAGGCTCCATATTTGCACGCTATGCATATTCAAGAGCACATTACACACAGTGGCCTTGAGCAGTGAATTAAGCCTCCGCTCAGCTTCCATCACTTAGAAAGAAAAAAGTGCTCTGCTCATTAATCATTAAAAAATAGGCTTGCTTCTAAAAACAACCATTGTTCGCTCTAATCTTCAAACACCTGCAGTTAGAAACCAACATTAAAAGGAATAACAATTAAAAAGACGAGTGTTTTCCTGCACTCTGCACACTTTCATCAGCCTTAAACCACTTTGACTTTTCACCCCTGAACGACAGCACGCTGCTTTCCTGCTGTTTGTGAAAAACAATGAGGGGAATCACACACTTCATGAAGCTGGATCAGTAACTGGACATATTCCCACACTCTGAAAACAGTTTTAAAGATTTATTTCCACCACACCCGTAAAGTCATCAGTTATTCACATTATCAGATATTATTTTGTAATGGACAATAATGCATTATGGGTTGTTTTTAGCCTTAATGTTGCACAGTTATAAAGTGTCCCACACATGAAATAAATGAAATAAATACAAGCCTCTCTACTCATTATTAAAACTGCCATCAAATATTTTGGCTCCTTTGACCCTATAATGAGATGCACACAGCCTTGTGCTAAAATTCAGCATCTTTATTCGGGCCAAAAACACTCAGACATGCTAATTATCCTCCTGTGCTGTTTTAGCAGCTTAAAAAACTAAACTGTGGCAGAGGTGAGGTCTTTGGCTCTGCAGCAGGGGAGCGGCGGTGCAGCAGGCGGTGCAGCAGGCGGTGCAGCAGGCGTAATCAGGTCTTTTTAGTGACGCTGGGTGACAAGAGAGAGGAGGCAGCAGGAGAGCTGATTGATTGGACCGAAGACTGTGCTAAACCCAAAAAGAAAAGAAAGCCATAACCAGAACACCGTGTGGTTTGAGGGGCGTGCAGGGTCACATAAACGTTATTGATGATGTAATGCCTCTGTCCTGCTGCAGTCACTAGAGCAGTAATGTCATATCCATCTCAGGTGGCATCTCTCCCACAGGGCAAGCTTCCATTAGCAGTTAGCATGAACTTCGCTGCTTTGGCTACATAAGATGTTCTGATTACTCAATGATTCATTTCTCCTGCAGTTTAAATGTTGAATGACAACCTAGCGTACTCTCAGGTTATTTCAGTAACACAATCTGAGTGCCAAGCAGCTGCACTGACGTGTCTGAATAAATGCAGTTTGATTGGCTGAACTTTTCTCTGCACATTGCCTCAATTATCACAGGCAAAGCAAACCAGCAGCTCCACAATTCAGCACCTGGTGTCAAAACACAGAAGAGAAGCGAGACCTGTGCCTCCTGTGTCCGTGCCTCCATCCACCTCATACTAACAGGAAGTGGCCTAAGAACACCAATTTAACTTCAATAACAATAAGCACCTTCATGCACAATGCATGTTTAATGCAGCTGTGAGCAGCTGGACCCATTTCCTTTATATCTGCAGTAGTATTCTCGTACCCTGTTTAGTATGCACTGTACTTGATATTGTTAGAATAATTACGAAGCATGAATTTGGACTTATCACAGTGAGATGGATGTGAACACCTGACACTTGAGCAAACACCAACTCTCCTGCTTTCCATTACAGCCCGTGTGCTGCTCAGGGGGCACGTGCAGAGCACAAATCTATTACAAAGATATAAAAATACACATTTTTCTTATTACAGCGCCCCTTAATTCCAGGTGCAGTCATGCTGACAAGCTGTTTGTGCTTTTTCAAATGGATGCTGAGTCCATGTACCAAAGCTGAAGCTGATAAAATATAGCCTACGCCTTTTAAACAGGTTACTGGCACCGATGGAAATCGCTAAAAGGACAGGAAGGGAGTGAGGGAGCACTCATAAGGACCTTCGGGGGAGTTTACGTGTAGTGCTGCTAATACACGAACAAAAAGAAAGCCTTCACACGAGTGATTATCATTTGAAGTTCTTTTCAAAGGTGACTCTAATAACGTTAGATCTTAGGGTGTCATGACATTGCGAGATAAGAGCCACGATTGATACTGGAAGAGAAGTACTAACGAGAGAGGAACGATGATGAGAAAGGGACCGTTGATCCTCTTGTGCTCCATCAGGTAGGTGATAAGGGCGATGGTTTGGATGGTTTTGCCGAGCCCCATTTCATCAGCCAAGATGCCGTTGAGATTGTTGTTGTACAAGGACACCATCCACTCGAGCCCCTGGATCTAAAACACAGAGAAGAAAGCGTGAGCGAAAAAGGAGAAATACACTAACTAGATGTCAAAAAGACAATACAATTAATAATGTTTACAATCATCTATATTCCAACATGAATAACGGAGCTCTCCTTATGGCATCTGTGAATAATAAAAGCAAATATGAAGGCAATCACAGGCACCTGCAACAAGTCAAGTAAATGCATCCTTGCACTACTATGGTTATCCTATCACAGGGCAGTCCTAACAATCAGGTGATGAAGCTAAAGCAGCACATAAAAGTTTCTTGCATGTTGAGGATGGTCTGTGCAGCACTACGGGCCTCTAATGCCTTCTAACATCCAGCTCTGTACGTTTGTTGGTGCAATCTTTGTTTTTATAGCATCCCACTGTGGAGCAGCGCACTGTGGGGCGGGGCCTGCTGTCGGGGCACAGAGCCACTGCAGGTGGGGTGCAGATGGCGACAGGTAAACATACGCCGTGAAATTAAGTTGAATTAAGAAGAAAAAAAGACGTTAAAGGACTGAAACTCATCTTTGATCCTTTTTTTATTGCTGACTGATTTAATTTTGGATTCTGGGACAAGAGACTTTTTCTGACATGTCAGAAAAAGTTTGGAACTACAGACTTAATCCAGAAAAATCCAGAAAAGTGCAGAAATTATACATGTCTTAAATCAAAGGAGCTTGGCAAGAAAAGCGTCTGGACTTCTTTAAGTTGCTTGAAGACGTTTCACCTTCATCCGAGAAGCTTCTTCAG